TTCTGTTTTGCAATTTGAGAAGGTGGGTCTTCAGTTTTAGTTTTGGCTCTTCTGTTGATCTGAGTTTAGGTTTCGTGACCTCACATCTTTGTTTCGGTCAGCGTTTGAGTTTGAGGGTGGTGGTTTCCTAACTCAATTTTTCCCTAATTTCAAACACCAGATTACTTAATATCCACTTCAACCTGTAATTAAATAACACGTCAGCATGCACAAAACTAAATAATGACATGTTACCTCTAACTACTGACAGATGATCATCCCATTAACTTTGTTTGGTTATATTTAATGGAAGGGACTAATTTAACGCAAAATTTTAAAAGTGAGGACCCATTCCAAACACTTTTATAACGAGGGACCAAATTGATATTTGTCAACGAAACTGGAGACTAAATTGACTATTAAACCTTACGACAATATCTTGCATTTGAATTTGAGATGAAACAACTTGGAAACCTCAAATATTTTTTTAGTATTGAAATAGCAAGATCAAAACAAGGTATTTTCTTATGCCAAAGAAAATATACTATTGATTTACTATCAGAAATTGGGTTGCTTGGGAGTAAATTAATTGATACACCAATTGAACAAAATAATAAACTCTTTCAATGCTCAAATTCAGCAAGCATAGATAGAGGGAGATACCAAAGGCTGGTAGGAAAATTAATTTATTTGTCCCATACATGTCCAAATATCACCTATGCAGTGAATGTTGTTAGTCAATTTATGCACAACCCATGAAAGAATCATATGGATGTTGTTGAGAGGATTTTGAGATATTTGAAGTACACTCTTGGAAAAAAAATATTTTTTAAATCATGCAAACTTAAAGGTAGAAGGGTACACTGATGCAGATTGGACAGGTTCAAAAGATTATAGAAGATCTACCTCTGGATACTTTACTTTTGTAGGAGGGGATCTTGTAACTTGGAGAAGTAAAAAACAGCCTATAGGATCAATATCTAGTGCTGAAGCAAAATTTAGAGGCATGACACTAGGTGTATGAGAACTTTTGTGAATTAAAAATATGTTATTAGATTTAAGCTTTAAACCAAATGAAACTATGAATTTGTACTGTGACAATACGTCGGCTATAGCAATTGCTCACAATCTTGTGCAATATGTAGAACAAAGCATGTGAAGATTGATAGACACTTCATCAAAGAGAAGCTTGAAGCTGAAATAATTTTCTTTCTATTTGTAAGATCAGAACTACAGTTGACTGATGTTCTCACTAAAGGAGTGTCAAGCATAGTGTTTAATGAGTCTCTATTCAAGTTGGGAATCTGTGATATCCATGCACCAACTTGAGTGGGGGTGTTAAGATATGTCAAATATTCTATTAACAAATATTAGGCAATCAAATATTGTGTTAGTTATAATTTAGGTATTATTATAATTTGTGCATATCCTTTCAACATTAAATACTTGATAATATCGTGTTTTATTTGTTGTGATTTTTTATTTTTAGTAAAAAACTTTAATTAATATTTGGAATAGTAATAAGGCAGATATGGATGCAAATACAAGTATATATTTGTTTTTCGATGTGAATAAGGATGATACACAAATTTATATACCTATTAGATATAAGGATGAATTTTTACTTTAAAGATGAAGATGGGATAGTCAAACCAACACTGTCTTGTCCCATTGTCATCCCACCAATGAAGATAAGACAAAAGTTATGACGTTTATTGGAACAATTCCGATAATAAGTAAATATTATTCAAACATAAGAATGTTGCTAAAATGATGAACACTTAAGTAGCAAGTTAAGTGATGGATTAAGAAGTTACTCAAGTGATGATTAACAACTTAATGAGAAAGCTTGTTCCCAATTATAGAAGAGGTTTCCCAATCTATATAAACTCGCTCAAACTACATGTTTCAATATATGTATATATATACATATATGTATGTTGGCATGAGTTGCAATGAGAATTGGTTATATATAGATTATTAGACTAATTATATATTCGAGATATATAATTATTATAAGATATGCATATGGACATGATGATAATGTAAGATCATGGTATCAGTTTGCGATAGAATAATAAGCATGTCAATTTATTAAGTAAATAAGATATGTTGATTTCACTAATGATTTATCATGTAAATTATATATCGATTGAATAAATAAATATATGAACTATTTCTAGAATACATCAGTGGAATATGCATTGATACCTGTTGTAAGATATCTTACTATGATTACACTCTTCATTGAAGCTTTAACTAAGATTTCTTACACCTTAATAGCAATATTTCAACATAGACAATTCATAGAGGTATTATAAGAATACCTTCATCTTATTGTATAATAAAGCTACTTCAATTAATTTCTTACGTGTTTTCTTGTATTTTTGTCTCCCAATCTAAACAATTTTATCGTATACCTTTCTTAATATTAATTGGGATTTTGAATATATATTTATTTAATGGTATGAAAAACAAGTATTTGATGAGGTGCGAACAACACATGTACAAAAATTCAAAGATAGAATAAATGTGGAAGAGAGAGGGTAGAGTGAGGCTTTATTTTTTAAATAAAAGGAGCATGGGAGGATGTGACGTGTGATCTGAAGCCTATTTGAGATGAAAAGGCAAAGGAATTAAGAATGGTGTCTGTGTAAGCCTTAAACTGCTTCTTACCTGTGAGTCATGGCACCCAAACTAAATGACAAAACTCACCATACTATCATCTGCATCATAGTAATCCCGTGAGACAAGTCCTTTAATTTCTCCTCATAAATTTTATCAAACTGGGTCCCATTTATTCTTTTCTTTCTTTCTATTAAAAAATACTATTGATACTTTGACAATATTTTAATATCATCTACGTGTTATTTTGTGATTGGTCCATATTGATGTTTATGATTGTTATTATTAATTGTGGAATAATTTTGGACCAATCACATGTAAATAATATTATAACGTTGTCAAAAAAATATTGTTAAAGTATCACTATAAAAAAACATATTGGTATCAACATTCATGCTCTTTCTTTCACTACTGCCATAACTTTTCCATCTAACTTTTCTTTTTCTTTTTTGTTTATGGATGATACAAAAACATTTTGAATCATGTTCAAAACTATATTTCAGATTACTCAAACATATTTTGGATTTTGTAATATAAACTCAAAACAATGCATAATGTATTTACATTATATACTATAGTAGATACTATCTATTTCGGGGGTTATGGATCTTACATTGTGAAATATATTTCTCAATTATATAATTTATTTTATTTTTGGATTCAAAATTACATTTTTTAGGTTGTAAAATTAAAAAAATTATATATATTTTTTAATCTAAAAAATATTTTAAATTACATATTTTCAAAAACTATGATATATTTCTAAATTTAAAAATATATTTTTTTTTTAAATTTAGAATATGATTTTAGACAATTAATCTAACCATCTCACTTTCTGAATATCCCATCAATCAGATGTGGTGAAGGAAGAAGCTTCATACGTCATTACTTCAATCACTAACTTCTTTTTATCTTCTGGTCCACTTCATATATTACAATTCATTACCAACTATTTCTTCCTGTACTTTTTTTTTCGCATTTCTATATACTTATAAATTTCATTAAAATTGTATTAAAAACATGCACCCTATTTTTAAATGCATTTCGATTAGTGAAATTCGAAAAATATTTTTGGATTCGAAAACATGTTTTGAATTGTACTATACAAAATCTATTTAAAAAATATATTTGACAGTATAATTTAAAAAGTATTTTTTTAAGATTACATCATATTTTAAAAAATTATATTTCAGAATATATATATATATATTCTGAAAAACATTTCTAAATCTAGAAAGATATTCTAAGATGTGAATCCGGAATATATTTATAAATACATTTCTATAATTTGAAAATATGTTTCTATCTGAAAATACTTTTTTTACTGTACAATCTATACTATACTTTTGAAAAAAAAATTCTAAAGTTTATACTTCAAAAGGATATTTTCAAAAATAAAAATATTTTCTAGATTGTACAATTCAAAATATATAATTTTTAGAATCTTACATAAAACCTTTCGGATTGGATGTTTTGGTATGCATCTTTCACCAAAAAGCACATCCAGTTTCTTTTGCATGTTTACAGCCCAAATTAGAGACACTGTTATTAGACATGTCACTTTGAGACTCCGTGCAAAAAATTTATAAACATGCAAAAATTTAAAAAAGAATCCCAAAAAAAAAAAACATTCTTATTTTTGCAAAAAATTTATAAAGACTTTTTTCTTAATTTGTAGCACACTCCTATGACCTTTCATTTTCATGGATAGTTTATATGTGTGTATAAACCCATCATTCACCACCTCTTTCATTCATAGTTTATATACATGTGTACCAATAAATCATCCCTTCCTCTTTTCTATATTTGATAACCAATTAGCCTTCCATTAGTCCCACCTCAATTATGGAGAAGGGAAAGGACAAATAATTTATAACTAAAAATGGTAAAGAAATAATTGTATTGTCATGTTGTATTATTCTCAGTTATGGATTACTTTATAACCACTAATAATAGGAATTGTTCACACCCAAGTAATGTCAATAAAATTTAGCTGGTTCAACATAGTTTTAGAATTTTAATGTTATATATTCTCCACTTTTTATCATTAATCTGTTTTTTTTTTTCCCTCAATTTGTCAATGTCTCATTTCCCAACAAAAACTCTCAATTATGGAATATTCAATTACGACAGACTAGAATTATACAAATTTATGTCTAATTTGATTTGAAACAACCAAAAACACTATAAAACTCCATGGTTGTTGTTGCTTGATGTCGCACATTTTGACCTCAATATGATCCTTATTTTGTTCATGAATTAGATCATCCTTGATATTTAAAATCACATGAAATCTAATCTAGTAAGTTTTTATAAGCATATTACCAATAAATATGATTTTCTTTTACATTTTAAAGTACATTACAAGTCCATGTCAAACAATTTGTTACATCAAGTAGGTGAACTGAATAAGGAATGCTTAAAATTTGTTGAGTTTAAATACAAATTCAGGTAAACATAATCACAGACAAAGATGATACAACCATGGAGGAAACATTATAACAGCCATGGAGAAAACATTATGGTAAGAAAATAAAGCAACAAATACACATGTAATCTATCTATTATCAAAGCCTGAAGCTGCAAAGATTCATTCATTAGTCTTACAATACACAAAGAAAAGAATCAAAGAGGCTTTGCACCACCACCATTCTCCTGTGCATTATTGACTGGAGTTGAAGAGCCACTCTTTTTAGAGCCACTATGGCCTGTGATTGTCCTTCCCATGAACTTCCCTGCCTTGCTCAATCCACTGCTAACGGCTCCAAAACCACTGCCAACTAGCCCTGCTCCAGCACCGATGCCACTGCCAACTAGCCCGGCACCGGCCACAACGCCACTTCCCATAAGACCGGCACCGGCCACAACACCAGTACCAACCAGTCCAACACCAGTACCAACCAGTCCAACACCAGATCCTAGTGCATCCATTGTGCTTCCTATCATTCCTGCTTCTTTCATTTTCTTCCTTTCTTCTAGTATCTTTTTCTCTTCTTCTAGTGCAGCCAGTTGTTCTTCCTTGTTAAACTGATAGTATAAGACCTGAAATTGAAACATGATTATGATTTTCAAATGATTTTCAATCAACCAGGATTGCCACAAGTGACCAACATATAGGAGGGCTTAAATTATCCAAATGATGGTAAGATCAGAACATATGAAGGGAAGAGAAAAAACTTTATATACACCATGCAGAGCTCCATAATATTGTCACTGCCAAGTACGTCAGATTATTAGAAGTACCTTTATTGTCAAGGTTCCTCGATCCTTCTTATCTTTCACCTTCAGTGTATCAAGTGATGACAGCAGCCTCAATTCCATCTCCTTTTCAGTTTGTGAGTCTAGATCATTAAGGCGTACCTGAACTATTCCCAATCGCTTATCTTGCCCAATGTCTTTATCAAAAACCTGTTTGAGGAGTCATGGACATCATTTGTGTTAATTGCCTTAAACAAATCAAATTATAGAAGCAGTTTAAGTTGAGTTATAGGGAGAAAAACATTAGATTTCAAATCAAAATAATAACTGCAATAACCCTGTAAATATGGATAAAATCTTGGGCTTCAACCAGGCTAAACAAAGACACAACCTCTGTCAATATTACAGAAACAATCACAAATTTTTGAGAAGTCAGTAATCAAACATAGATTATAATATATATCACTGATATATAGAACTGCCACTGGTGGAAGATCCAAAATTTGTTGACTTGAGGCAACAAGATATACCAACAGAATTTTATGTATTAAAGAAATTCTAGTTTACAACATGGATGGTACAGGATCACAATAACAAGGTTCAAACAAATTGAGCTGTTAAACAAAAGTAATCATACTTAGAAAGAAGTATGCAGTATGTTTCTAATCCCCGTGTCAGAAACAAGAGCAGGTAAATAACCAGATTTTTATTTTCAAACATATTGAGCATATATGAAAATATTTCTTTCCAATTCTTCAGTAAGTAATTGGCTTAATTTAAGGGCATATATTTATGAAAACAAAAATGTCACAAAATGTCCCTAAGAAATGAGGCAGAGACTTCAGAATAAAAAGGAGATAAAGTATTGGTATGGTAAAACCTCTAGAATGAGTGATTGGGTCTCCTTGTCTTCTGCAATCAACTCAAATCTCTCATTCCAAGTAGGATTCAAGTTGTTGTCAACAACTTTGGTTTTATACTTGAACAATGGTCGAATATGCACAACTACATACGGATCTGACTTTCCAATCATTTCCATATTCTTCAAAGCAGTCGCTTTCACTACAGTCACTGAAAGTTTTCCTTGGGGTTTAAGCTCCAGCTCACTGCAAGAAAACAAAAAAAGTGCTTTTTATGCTGTGTGATTGTAAACATATTTGAGCACTAACATTGAAATTTGCATTCCCAGTTTATTTTCTTCAAAGGTAGGGTTTAGAAGAGGTTATTTGCTGGAAAGAAGTGGCAGAAACACCTGCTTACTTACATGAGAGAATCTCATAGTGGCAGATTGATTTTCTTAAGGCTATATTATTGTTTTGTTGCTCACACAAATTTCAAAATCAAATGTAAAACTTTGTTAAAAGGATATAGCAACATAACTATTGTTTTTTTTTATCTGCAGTCACAAAGAATAAATCCAAAAGGATAAACTTGATGATTCACATTTACCTTAGATCACAAGGAATACCACCAAGTGGAACCACAATCCTATGGGGCCATTGAAGCATGTCAGTAACAATTGAATTCACAGTATCCTATAAAATGGTGGGTAAATGTTAGAGTTATGCATGCTACTTCAAAGATGCTCCCAAGGGAAAGATGCAGTAGACAATAAATGACTCACATCAATCATATCTGAGATTCCAGGAATAGCTGTTAAACTTCCACCAACAGCTTTCAGAGTATAGTCAATCCTTGGCTTTGGCTATATTTAAATGGAAAAGTCAGAATTCAGAGAGTAAAAATAAGTTTAGTGGGTATCATGTGGCAAGGCTGATACAAGTTTTAAAGAATAAACTAAAATACACATTTAGGCCAAAAATAGAACAGTTTTTGGTTATTAACAGTAGTTTCCCCCATTCACAATCTTTGAAAAGTGTATTATCCTAATAATGTCCCCAATTAATCACTATGGCAATTCACTTAAATTGATATCTAAATACATTTAACACGTTTAATATGAAGGGACACTTTATCCACCTTTTTTGTTTTTTTTTTCTTAATCAACCTTATCATTTTATCTTTTTCCTTTACCTCAGCAAGTAGAGCTACAACAACAGCAGAAATGCAAGGGATCTCTTCAGAAAGTTGGAATATAACACGGATAATGGTGAAAACCTGTAGATCCTTCAACTGAAACCAAACGCAATAATAAAACTCTAATGTTGACAAATTGTGCAAGGAAAGTGATGAAAATCAAGGGAAAAGTACACTGACAAGCTAAGTCTTACCTGAATAGGGATTGATGCAACAAGTGCAGCCTCAACAGCCAAAATAATACTAGGATCACCACCCCAACGGAAATCAATATCCATTATGATTTGACCTTTGGTAAGACTCTGAACACGAATCCCTGTATGGATGAAGAATTATGCATATAAAGATTATTAATTTATGAAATGTATGAGAAATAGAGAAGATTGGGAGAGAATATCCCTTGTGTGTTTAGCATACACATAGGGTAGTTTATTTATATTGTAAGATATGGGCCAATGCCCTTAATACATAATAGACTAAGCCCAAATAACAGAAACACACATCTTATCATCTAACACTCCCCCTCAAGCTGGAGCATATAAATCATATGTTCCAAGCTTGTTACAAAGATAATCAATTCTAGGTCCTCGTAAGGACTTAGTGAATATGTCTGCCAACTGGTTGCTTGAGTTAACAAACTCAGTCTTGATATCTCCGGATATGATTTTTTCTCGAATGAAATGACAATCAACTTCAATGTGTTTGGTTCTCTCATGGAAGACAGGGTTAGAGCTAATATGGAGAGCAGCTTGATTATCACATATAAGTATCATGTGAGTGACATCTCCAAATTTCAATTCACTAAGCAATTGTTTAAGCCACACAAGCTCGCAAGTAGCTGATGCCATAGCTCTATATTCTGCTTCTGCACTNTTCTATCTGAAAATACTTTTTTTACTGTACAATCTATACTATACTTTTGAAAAAAAAATTCTAAAGTTTATACTTCAAAAGGATATTTTCAAAAATAAAAATATTTTCTAGATTGTACAATTCAAAATATATAATTTTTAGAATCTTACATAAAACCTTTCGGATTGGATGTTTTGGTATGCATCTTTCACCAAAAAGCACATCCAGTTTCTTTTGCATGTTTACAGCCCAAATTAGAGACACTGTTATTAGACATGTCACTTTGAGACTCCGTGCAAAAAATTTATAAACATGCAAAAATTTAAAAAAGAATCCCAAAAAAAAAAAACATTCTTATTTTTGCAAAAAATTTATAAAGACTTTTTTCTTAATTTGTAGCACACTCCTATGACCTTTCATTTTCATGGATAGTTTATATGTGTGTATAAACCCATCATTCACCACCTCTTTCATTCATAGTTTATATACATGTGTACCAATAAATCATCCCTTCCTCTTTTCTATATTTGATAACCAATTAGCCTTCCATTAGTCCCACCTCAATTATGGAGAAGGGAAAGGACAAATAATTTATAACTAAAAATGGTAAAGAAATAATTGTATTGTCATGTTGTATTATTCTCAGTTATGGATTACTTTATAACCACTAATAATAGGAATTGTTCACACCCAAGTAATGTCAATAAAATTTAGCTGGTTCAACATAGTTTTAGAATTTTAATGTTATATATTCTCCACTTTTTATCATTAATCTGTTTTTTTTTTTCCCTCAATTTGTCAATGTCTCATTTCCCAACAAAAACTCTCAATTATGGAATATTCAATTACGACAGACTAGAATTATACAAATTTATGTCTAATTTGATTTGAAACAACCAAAAACACTATAAAACTCCATGGTTGTTGTTGCTTGATGTCGCACATTTTGACCTCAATATGATCCTTATTTTGTTCATGAATTAGATCATCCTTGATATTTAAAATCACATGAAATCTAATCTAGTAAGTTTTTATAAGCATATTACCAATAAATATGATTTTCTTTTACATTTTAAAGTACATTACAAGTCCATGTCAAACAATTTGTTACATCAAGTAGGTGAACTGAATAAGGAATGCTTAAAATTTGTTGAGTTTAAATACAAATTCAGGTAAACATAATCACAGACAAAGATGATACAACCATGGAGGAAACATTATAACAGCCATGGAGAAAACATTATGGTAAGAAAATAAAGCAACAAATACACATGTAATCTATCTATTATCAAAGCCTGAAGCTGCAAAGATTCATTCATTAGTCTTACAATACACAAAGAAAAGAATCAAAGAGGCTTTGCACCACCACCATTCTCCTGTGCATTATTGACTGGAGTTGAAGAGCCACTCTTTTTAGAGCCACTATGGCCTGTGATTGTCCTTCCCATGAACTTCCCTGCCTTGCTCAATCCACTGCTAACGGCTCCAAAACCACTGCCAACTAGCCCTGCTCCAGCACCGATGCCACTGCCAACTAGCCCGGCACCGGCCACAACGCCACTTCCCATAAGACCGGCACCGGCCACAACACCAGTACCAACCAGTCCAACACCAGTACCAACCAGTCCAACACCAGATCCTAGTGCATCCATTGTGCTTCCTATCATTCCTGCTTCTTTCATTTTCTTCCTTTCTTCTAGTATCTTTTTCTCTTCTTCTAGTGCAGCCAGTTGTTCTTCCTTGTTAAACTGATAGTATAAGACCTGAAATTGAAACATGATTATGATTTTCAAATGATTTTCAATCAACCAGGATTGCCACAAGTGACCAACATATAGGAGGGCTTAAATTATCCAAATGATGGTAAGATCAGAACATATGAAGGGAAGAGAAAAAACTTTATATACACCATGCAGAGCTCCATAATATTGTCACTGCCAAGTACGTCAGATTATTAGAAGTACCTTTATTGTCAAGGTTCCTCGATCCTTCTTATCTTTCACCTTCAGTGTATCAAGTGATGACAGCAGCCTCAATTCCATCTCCTTTTCAGTTTGTGAGTCTAGATCATTAAGGCGTACCTGAACTATTCCCAATCGCTTATCTTGCCCAATGTCTTTATCAAAAACCTGTTTGAGGAGTCATGGACATCATTTGTGTTAATTGCCTTAAACAAATCAAATTATAGAAGCAGTTTAAGTTGAGTTATAGGGAGAAAAACATTAGATTTCAAATCAAAATAATAACTGCAATAACCCTGTAAATATGGATAAAATCTTGGGCTTCAACCAGGCTAAACAAAGACACAACCTCTGTCAATATTACAGAAACAATCACAAATTTTTGAGAAGTCAGTAATCAAACATAGATTATAATATATATCACTGATATATAGAACTGCCACTGGTGGAAGATCCAAAATTTGTTGACTTGAGGCAACAAGATATACCAACAGAATTTTATGTATTAAAGAAATTCTAGTTTACAACATGAATGGTACAGGATCACAATAACAAGGTTCAAACAAATTGAGCTGTTAAACAAAAGTAATCATACTTAGAAAGAAGTATGCAGTATGTTTCTAATCCCCGTGTCAGAAACAAGAGCAGGTAAATAACCAGATTTTTATTTTCAAACATATTGAGCATATATGAAAATATTTCTTTCCAATTCTTCAGTAAGTAATTGGCTTAATTTAAGGGCATATATTTATGAAAACAAAAATGTCACAAAATGTCCCTAAGAAATGAGGCAGAGACTTCAGAATAAAAAGGAGATAAAGTATTGGTATGGTAAAACCTCTAGAATGAGTGATTGGGTCTCCTTGTCTTCTGCAATCAACTCAAATCTCTCATTCCAAGTAGGATTCAAGTTGTTATCAACAACTTTGGTTTTATACTTGAACAATGGTCGAATATGCACAACTACATACGGATCTGACTTTCCAATCATTTCCATATTCTTCAAAGCAGTCGCTTTCACTACAGTCACTGAAAGTTTTCCTTGGGGTTTAAGCTCCAGCTCACTGCAAG